AGGAATTTACGTTAGATAGCTATGAGGAATTACAGCTATGTCTTAAAGAAGAGTTTTTAATTCTTCCAAAGGTATAATTATAAATTTGAAATTCATAACATGGAATAATTCATTAATTAACAATATTTTATTTTTTAATAGGTTTTTGCAAGTTTTGTTAACTTACCAAATATACATATTAATATGCATCTTTTGATGCATGCTAAAACTTTTGGTACACTTGTCAATTCTCAGGTTGGTATAAAAGAGATGGTTCATCGTATCTTTAAAGGAATGGTACCAAAAACTAATTGCAAAAATATAGACCTGGATTTATTAAAACGTTACAATACTTTATTTGCAATTCGACATTTAGCAGATGGAGGTATAGATTCAAGATTAAATAGATCTTATTCTGGGTTCACAAGTTCAAATTTTGATCAATTATTTTCGAATTGGTATGTTACAGAAGATAAATATTTAATTGAGGAACAAATTCAAAATGATGACGTAAAAGGTAAGATAGCAAAATATTATAGTACTTCATATTTATTTTTTCACATATGCATAATATTTACTAATCTTTTAATTTAGTTACTTCACCAGTAAATTTTATTTCCAATATTTCCTTAAAAAAAAGAATGTCAAAGCAGGAACATGATAAACTTCTCTTGACTTTTCATAATTTTAAAATTGAATTGTTTTTATCTTATGTGGATATTAAGTTTGATGTTGCACTTATAAATTCTTCAATTAGTTGGTACAAATTAGCATCATATACAATTGAAGAAAAAAATGGTATTCTTTCAAAAGTTCACCTACATCTCGGTGATTTCATCACAATTTATGAAGAAGATCATGAAGATTCTTATGCAATAATCAAGGGTATTTTTCAACATAAGGGTAATAATGACAAATATTATGCATTTGTTGTTGTAGATTGGTTTGAAGATACTATGGTTGAACATTCAGTATTAAAATGTCCACTTTACCATCTTCAAACAACAGGAGATAAATGGAGACGTATTTTTCCAATTACTGTAATAGATAATTTTCAAAAAGTACACTTTATTCATAATTGTAATTCAGAAAGGTGCCAATTACCAAATCATGATACTACAAATAGAATTTGGATAAAAAATAATTTTTATTTTACAGCCATATAATTATATTAATTATATAAATATAATAAAATAATTATTTAATTTGTATCGTATAAAATTTTGGTTAAAATTAACCAATAAAATCACATGCATGATGTAATAATTAATTAAATTAACCAATTAAAATTACTTTAATTGCATGCATGTGATATCTAAAAATAGCTAAAATTTGTGTTTATTAATACAAGATTTTTTTTGTTTATTTTCAAAAATACACTTTTCTCTTCTTATACTTGTCTTTTATTAATACTTTACGGTATTTTTGGTTCGTTTCTTCTTTTTTCTTTTACCCAAGTATACTTTAATTATCTTTTACAATATTAACAATACTTTGGCACTTTAGTTTATATATTTGACATAGTAAGACACCCACATACGAAAAAAAAGGAACCACTCACGTACAAAAGAAAAGAATAAAAGAAAGGTAAAATGTACCCAACTATCCACATACAAAAAAGAGAAAAGCTGCTTTTAAATAAATAGTGGAGCTGTTAAGCAAGGTATGAAAATAGGATATACGCGTATTTTTCATATTTTCAGACTCTACCACAATCGTAAAGTCTACTGTTTCTGGAGGAGTGATCTGTTATGTACCTTCTTTACAATAGGTTCTGGTTTGAGTCTTTCTTTGTTAGACTGTGGTATTACTTAAGGAAGTGTGTAAAATGTATTCTCAAATGCCATGTTCAAATTGCTGAATATATTTGAAGCTTTCTTTTGTAATATTTGCTTTAACCTGGAAGAAAATGTTATAAAATAGGGCTGGATATTTATGGCATTTTCTGGCTTCCAATTACTTTGTCCGGAGGTAGCCTTACAATTTGTCGTTGTTCGTCAGTTGTAGCAACCAGCATTTTTTTACAATATTATGATTTTAAGAAACAAAACATTTTCAAAAAATTTAAAGAAAGAACTAACTTAAAAAATATTATCATTTTTATTATTCTTTACAAAATCTCGGAGATTACCTGCTCTAACTATTATCCCAAGGTTATGTATTAAAATTTAAATATATTTTACAAAGAGTACATTTTATTAATCATGATTGTTTTTTTATTTTTTATATATATATATATATATATTTTAAAATTGAAAATGACGTATCCATCCACTCACATACGAGAAGAAAAGAATAAAAAAAGAGAAGAAAAGAATAAAAAAAAGAAAGAAACGTACTCCACTCACCCATAATAATCCACTAATAAAATTGTAATAAAACATATTATATAATAAAAATATTTTTGTGATGTTAATTCGATGTTAATATGATATCATTACGATTTAGTTACGATATTAAATAAATGGAAATCATTTTTTGCAATGTTAATTCGATATCATTATGATGTAGTTACGATATCAAATAAATGTAAAACATTTTTTGTAATATTAATTCGATGTTAATACGATATCACTACGATGTAGTTACGATATCAAATAGATGTAAAATATTTTTGTAATGTTAATTTGATGTTAATACGATATCAATTCCATGGTGTACAAAGTGTGATTATTGCAAAAACTATTTCAAAGATCTTCCAAAATCTGAAAATATAAAAAATGATGTAATTCATTTACTGAAAGTTATTACTGCTGTGACAGAATTTTTGGGAATGAAAAATCAACTTACTTCATCTCTTGACATTGTTCATGTTTTTGCTAAAGCAAATAACAACAATATCAAAGAAAAGAAACTCAGTTTTTTATTAATTTACAATCAAAACTACAACAAAACTCTTCGGCAATTTGAAGATATTTTACGTTTACTTGACAAATTAATTGTAAAAGAATTGGTAAAAGTTCGTGTTGATTTAAAAAAAGCAAATACAAGTACAAGTTCTACACAATTAACCTGTAAAGTAAATAATAGAAGGAATTACTGAAAATACCATGGAAATAGTACAGAATCAGTATTGGAATTTTTTATTGAAATAATAGTTGCGAAATTTTATTTTGTATTACAAAATAAAGAAATGATTTTGATTTTGTAATTCCGGCAGTCCTATTCTGGCCAGATTTATGAGACAACCTTAAAATTTTCTGAAAAAATATGCATTCAGATTTTCAAATTTTGTGCCATGATGATCATAATAAAAATCACGTGACTACATACTTCCCTTAAATCAGTCACAGGTTAATTTATAGTCTATTTAAGTATAAAAATCTAATTTTATTAATGAATTTGTAATGATTAAACAGGACCTCAGATAATTATAATCCACAGTACTAATTAAAAATTCAATGAAATATATAATTTTTGATCGGTAAGTTTTGAAAGTTCAAATTGGACTCTTTGATCAGTAAGTTTTCAAAATGAAATTTAAATTGTTTTTTTTTAAAAAAATTTAATTGATTTTTTTTTCTTTCCTTTTTTTTGTAGATATCAGCTTTTAATCTGTAAGTTTCAGAATGAAACTTTTTTTCTAAATCATTTTCTTTTTAAAAAATTTTAATTAATTTTTATTTTTTTTTCTTTTGTAGGTATTGACCTCGGTTCTTTGTGAATTGGGCTTTTTGATCGGTAAGTTTTGAAATGAAACTATTTTTAAATTATTTTTTTTCTTTTCTTCTTTGTAGGTATTGACCTCAGTTTTTTGTGGATTGAATTCTTTGATCGGTAAGTTTCAAAACAAACTTTTCTAAATAGTTTTTTTAAAATTTTAATTGATTTTTTTCTTTTGTAGATATTGACCTCAGTTCTTTATGGAATATGGATGTGACTCTTTGATCGGTAAATTTCAAAATGAAACTTTGTCTTTTTTTTACAAATATTTAATTGATTTTTTTCTCCCTTCTTTTGTAGGTATTAGCTTCAGTTCTTTGTGGATTGGACTCTTTGATTGGTAAGTTTTGAAACGAAACTATTTTTAAATTGTTTTTTTTTAAATATTTAATTAATTTGATTTTTTTTTTCCTTCTTTATAGGTATCAATCTCAGTTCTTTGTGGATTGGACTCTTTGATCAGTAAGTTTCAAAATGGAACTTTTTTTCTAAATCAGTTTTTTTAAATTTTAATTGATTTTTTTTTCTTTTGTAGGTATCAGCTTCAGTTCCTTATAGATTGGACTCTTTGATCGGTAAGTTTTTGAAATGAAAATTGTTTTTTTTTAAAAATGTTTAATTGATTCAGTTCTTTGTAGATTGGACTCTGATTGGTAAGTTTCGAAAGCTCTGAAACTTGTTTTTAATTTATTTTTTAAAAATATTTTAATTGATTTTTTTTTCTTTTTTTCTTTTGTAAGTATTGGCTTCGGTTCCTTGTGAATTGGACTCTAATCGGTAAATTTGAATTATTGTAAGAAGGGAGAAAATAGCATTTAAATGGGTTTTCTATTTTAATTATAATCCATAGATTTATCAACGTTAATCTCCAACTGTAAATCGCTCATTAATGTGGAAATGGTGATGAAGTTGGTGGTTAATAATAAAGATTTGTTAAATGACGGATATTATATATATTTATTTCATTGTATAAATGGAATAAAAAACTACTACAAGAAACATAATACTACTTTTGACACAAGTATAAGAGTTAACAATCATAATTTAATGTATCTTTTTCTACTTTAATTGAATATACAGTAGTATGTAATTATATTTATTTTTAATAAAATTATTTTATATTAACTGTTAATATTGTAAGGCAAATTTCAAGTAGTCTAACATTAAATTATAAAATAAATACTTTCAAAGAATTGTATTATTTTTTATTTTATTGATTATCAGAATTAACTTGTGAATGAACTTTCTTCTGAGGATGTATATTTATGTAAGTGTAAATTCTGTGATTTAATTTAAAAGCTTTTCAAAACTTCTTTTTTAATCTTAATTAATTTCTTTTTCTTTCTTTCTTTTATAGATATCAGCTTCGGCTATTTGTGTATTTAATTGGTAAAAATAGGACATTTGATTTCTAGTTTGCTTTTTTTTTAAATTCTAACATAGTTTTTTTATAAAATAAGATTTACCATATTTGCCTAAAAATAAGCAATCACCGAAAATAAGCAACATGGCCTGCATTATAACAAATTTTGGCCCACATTATCAAAACTTGGCCGGCATTATATGCAAAACTTGTTGCTTATTTTTGGGCAAATATGGTATTAAATATATTAAGTGGATACAATGAGGGTGTACGTTATTAATATACAAATTGGCTAGAGTTAACGTTAATGCTATCATATACAAGTGCATAACTCCTGAACTCAGGCCAGTATTGTACACTTCTTTAAAGACTCTATTATCTATTATTAACCAAATTCAGCCTGATCTTTATGCATGTGATCCAATCTTAACACCCTTAACACCCATAAATTACCAAACGCGCTTTTGTTTATTTTTTCAAATACTCTCTTTTCTGCTTTCTCCTTAGTCCTTTACTTTACAAGTATGTTTTATTTGCTTTATAATATTATTGCTGTTTTTGAATTAGTGTGATCAGCCGTATTTTGCTATATAAATAAAAATATTGATTTTGGAATGCACATATAAAGTAGTAAATCTTATCTGATCTACGTAATGCTAAGCCACTGTTGCATCACCTTCAATATGATTTTTTATCATGATCGTGTTCGTTTTGATAGTAGCATATAAGTCATCAGGAAATTTGTTTAGGCGTAACTTAGTGTAATATTGTGAAGGTGGTGTAAAATTTCGAAATATTACACTAAAAACGTAATATTACAAAAGTTTACGCTCTTAAATTTGAATAATTAAGAATATCTCGCTATCTACTGATCCAATCAAGACGATCTATAGCTCATTGGAATCAGCTCATCAAGACGGATCGAATGGTAGTAAAATCGCATTTCTACAGTTGATAGAACGCTCTATAGTATGCAGTAAAGTTTTAAATTAATAGAAAATCATCTATCAAACGTAAAGATACGATTTTACTACCATTCGATTCGTCTTGATGAGCTGATTCCAATGAGCTATAGATCGTCTTGATTGGATCAGTAGATAGCGAGATATTCTTAATTATTCAAATTTAAGAGCGTAAACTTTTGTAATATTACGTTTTTAGTGTAATATTTCAAAATTTTACACCACCTTTGAAATATTACACTAAATTATGCCTAAACAAATTTCCTGATGTCTTTATAGGTGAACTCAACTATGCCTCAAGAATTTAGTGAAGATTTATACTGGCATATAATTTACCTTCATGCTGATAGTTTTCAACCATGGATATTGCTAATACGCTGCATATGAGTAATAAAATAAAAAAGAGATATAACCGTTGGGCATGTATTCCCAGTAAAAAGTTATTGTTGGATTTTCGTAGAAAAAATGCAATGTTACAATTTTAGTACAATTATGAGCATCCATTTGTACAATATTTGTAATTAATTTGTAATAAACTTGTAAGGTTTTCATATAATATTTAAAATAAATTTGTTATAAACTTGTAATGTCTTTATGTAACATTCAAGGGTAATTTGCTATAAACTTGTAAATTTGTATTTTAAAATTCGCATAATATGTATTATTATTGCAAGTTAGTTATATTTTTATTTTACCATAATGAATTTCTATTTAATTTAAAAATATTACTAAAAAGAAATCTCAAATCCGGATATCCTAAAAAAAAATGAGAATATGTAAATATACACTATTAGGATACGTTAAAAATATAATTAAAATTAAGTAGAATAAAGTACTTACATTTATTTATTATTGTAATGTGTTTAAATGCTTAAAATTATTCATGTTGCTTTGCATTTGCGAGCGGGAAATTTACTGATGAAAAGAAGTCTTTACCAGTTTTTTGGTCTTGTGCATTAAAATAAAGCTAATTTTCAATAAAATGTTTCAGTGCAAAATGTTGGTATATAAAAATGTTAGCTAAATTGGTAATATTACACACAAGTCAACAATCAAGTCATATGAACATAAAATCATATAGAAGGTAAATAAATGAGTTTATCTTCAATTTTATTAACATATCTTTTTTCTATGGATGACTTGGAATATGATTACGTGACTAAAACTTCTTCAGTCAACAAGCAATGAAAAGAAGATGATTGTTTAACATTCATATTTTTTTAGATATTCAACAATACAAAAGACTTACCACTACACAAGGAGTTATAACAACAATTCTAATAAACTCTAGCGAAATCATTTCTAATTCTCCTTTATTATAGAATCCATCAATTAAACCATCTTAATTGAGGGGAATAAAATGAGCTAATACTGCTGTTGCCTGGATAATGTTCCTGATGTTATTTTGAAATTCCAATATTGCAAGCAAATCATGTTGGTTATCACAGTAATCTTATAATAGAAATATTTTAAGACCTTCTGATAAACTTCGTGCTAATATGATTAAGGAATGACATAACATGATGGCTTAGTATTACGACCTAAACAAAGTCAAATTCAGTTAACGTTCTGGAATATTCTAGCAAAGCAGAACTTTATGAATTAAAAAGTTAAACTAATTGTTTTTCATGTTTGTTAAAAAATATGAACAAAATTTGGTTTATAACCCACCTTACCATTGCAAACTCCAATCAACTGATCAAAGGAACTTGGTCAGTTATAAAAGGTTAGTTGCTAGAACACTGTCTTAATTCTAATTTTTTTGCTTGTCATATACTTTTAAGGAAAGTCTACTAATGTGGATTATTTGGTGTTGCAAAATTGTACTTATTCGTGTATTATAATACTATTATAATATGTTCTCTCTTGTATATTTAATAAACGTGAATACATAGTTGAAAGGGTATTTAGTCTTTCTATCCAAAGTTCCATCATATTAATATCACTACTATCAAGAGAGTTTCTTGAACCTTGTATTATTGTATATGTTCTATGTAAGCATTGGACATTTTTCATGTATGTTATTGATCACTTTATAATAGTAATACACAAATTTTGGTCACTTTATAATTAGTGATATACAAAATTTTGATCACATTATTATAAAAGATATGTGAAAAAGGTCTCAGTTGCTTTACGTCATACATATCCAATATAGTACCCTAGCCATGGCGAAAAAAAAGTGACTGACACGTGACTTTTGGCCCGCATTACGGCGTTATGCACTAACACGTGAAAATAACCGGTGAAGAATAAGGGGTGACGAATAAGTTTTTACCTACTCAAAAAAAACTAAGTCCCTCAGATAAATATAAAAAGTGGAAATGCGGTGGGCGTGACGGTTGTGATGAATAAAATGCAGTCACGTGTCAGTCACTTTTTTTTCGCCATGGCTAGGGTTGTATATCCAATAACAATTACTTATCGTATAGCAAATTCTTCAAATTGCTGTTCCTCTGTTCCTCAATAGTGGAAAAATTTGACGCCATGTTGGCCACAAATTGCTTTATTTAAATTGCAGATCATTTTCCATGTGAGTAAAACACGTTAAATTAGTTTTGCATTCTTTTTGTTATGGTTTAGTTAAATTTAAATAAAATTTTTCCGAATCTATTAATATCACAAAATCAAGGGAATAGATATAAAATATGTAAATATCAAGACTTCATTCATATTTTTTGTTATTTTAATTTATAAATTAATTTATTAACTATTTTCTTAAAATTTAATAGTAGAAAAATGTGAATTTTTAATGCTGGAGGATCTATATATATTGATATTGGTAAATGTATGATTGAGAAAGCTGAAAAAGCAGGGAAACTCAAACTAGAATATACAATTATTGGGCCAACTTCTGAAAATACTGCATTAGCAGCTGTTGTAAAAGGATATCAAACTATTTATTACCACTTGGAGCAGAAATTGTCCATTAACCAACTGAAGCAACATCAAATTTACCCGAATCTCATATTGGAGTTGCTAAACGGAGATTCCTAATTTTGCGATTTTGAATTAATATTCTAATCCATTTAATCCTATAGCTCATTATGATCATACAGCTGAAGAAATATTAAGTTCTTGTGCGTATTTATAGCACAATTACAGGAGTGGATAGGAAATTGAAAGAGAAATGGCCTAATATTCAAATTATAAGCATAGACCCTAATGGATCAGTTCTCGCAAATAGGGATTCATCAGTTGGACCATATCTAGTTAATAATAATTAAGAAGTGATAACAAAAACGCAGGTCATCATAGTAATTAGTAAATATGATAAAAAAATGAATGAAACAAAGAATAATGTTAGAGGATTATGTCAATAAAAGGTTATATAAAGGATCGAAAATGGGATAAAGCTATTATAAATATAGTCTGAGGGTTTAAATAATTATTTAATTATGAACAATAATGAAAGAAAGTGTTAAAAAAGTTGTTATAGTGTTGATTGAAAGGAATGAGAAATGGGCAAATAATGTAAATCAAATATGATCGCAAGATCATGGTGTCTGAAATAATGGATTAGTATGGATAGAATATTAGAACATGCAATAGAACATTTAAATTGTTTAAAAGACTTAGTTGTTTAAGTAGGATGATGGCGAGTGGGATGATTGAATTAACCGAATAGTTACAGTATACGTTGATATCGGTCACATGATTTACTGATCTCCATATTATTGTTTTTTTTTTAAATAACGGTCATTGAATTTATATATTTATTTTTTATTAAATTATTTTGTTCTGTTATTATTTTTTTTTTTTATAAAACTACTTTGTAAGTTGAATTTAAGGAAAATTTTTTTTTTTTGAATTGGGAATGCTATTAATGTTCCCTTTTCTTTTTTTCTTTAGGTACACCTCTTGGACGTTAACTGTACTTTGGAATTGTAAATATACTGGGAGTGGGAATTAATTTTTTATTGGGAATATTACTAATGCCCTTTTCTATGTTTCTTTAGATACGCCTCGCAGAAGTCAAACTTCAGACTGGGACTTATGGATTGGGAATGGAAATTGATTTTTTTTTTGAATTGGGAACGCTATTAACGTTCCCTTTTCTTTTTTTTTCTTTAGATATACCTCTTGGACGTGAACTTCAACTTCTTGGATACTTGTACTTTGAAATTGTATGTTGAATGGGAAGGGAGAATTTTTTTTTAATTGGGAACGTTACTGATGTTCCTTTTCATTTTTTTCTCTAGAAATGACTCCTGGATTTGGAATTTTGGGAATTGTAAGTAGGGATGAGTTTAACGAAGTTTTTATCTTGGTTTTGAATATTACTATTACTGATGTTCTTTTTATTTGTTTGTAGAACAGCCATGGCTTCTCAAAGTAATGTGAGAGGGGGATATTATAATTTTTTAATATAAGATCGTTTAATAATGTTCATTTCAATTTTTATTAATTTCGGCATTATCTTTATGGGTTGGATCAGGGTGTGATCTATGTTGTGGTACATATTCTTGTCAATTAATAATGGAAAGTAAATAAAAAATATTTACATTTATAAGTTTATCCAATTTTAACAAAATTTGTTAGAAAAATATGAAATTTATTTCTGTGCACTATTTCATGTAATTTGATGATATCTACATGTATTAACCTAATTATTATTAAGAAACAAAAGAAACAATCTGAATAATGCTCAAAAATTAGGACAAAGGAGTTTAGCAAGGTTATGTTCTTGCTTTTACTTTAAAACTCAGCAGACTCCCTCCTAGTTCTACGTTCTAGTGGATTGGTTACATTAACCCAACGGAATGTTACCATTTGTCTTACATTCGGAATATTTGAATTAACATTCTAAAGGTTAAAATGTTGTATATTAATTTAAATAATTTAAATAATAATTATCTAATGATAAAATTAATTAAATTATCACCTGATAAGAATCCGTGCTTAACTCTAATGCATCAACGGGAATGGCATTCTCAACTGAATTGCCAGAATTAATATTAGATGCTGGTTGAACAAGCGTTCCAGTTGCTGTATTATTAAGCTGTGAACTTGAAAATTCCAATTCATTATTAATTTCATTCTGTAAAATGAAATTACTGTTATAGTTTCTTGAATAAACTGGTTCTGAGAAACCTTCATGATTTATAAATCCACTACGTAAGTCCTCCTCAAAAGTATTGAACCCCTGTGGCGATATTTCATAGTTTTCACAAAAGGTTAAAAGATTCCACATGTAGAAGCATGTGGTGCCATAGTTTTACTTCATCTGTATTAAGCTTGACCCACGAAATCTGAAAATATAAAGTAAATAAGTAAATTATTATATTAAATAAATTTAACAAGATATTTCATTAAAAAAATATACTTTGATTTTTGGTAATGCTGGAATAATACTAGCACCAGTTGCAAACTTCATAACATTTTTAAGCTCTTCTTCATCCATTGATCTTAATAATTCTTTAAATTCTTCATACAATAGTCGATATTGTGGTTTATCATGTGATCGTGCTTGTTGTTCAATGTATTCAGAATCGAATTGATCAATTACGATATCATATGTAATTTTATAGTATAATTCACGAACTATATTATGATATTTGTAATTTTTTAATTTCTAAAAAGAGGAGTTTAATTAATTGTAATTAATCATAACTAAAAATATTAATTTAAATATTAGACTTACGTTGATGATATTAAATTTGTTGAATCCTAGTTTGAAATCATCAAGAGCATTTTTCCTAATTGTAATGACTTCGTATTTAGCTACATAAGAAGCAGCTTCATTATTATTTAAAGTTTTGATATGATCAATCTAATATTAAATATTAAATAATAATTAAAAAATTATTTTTATTAATAAATCGTCATATGTTCTAAAAAAAATTATAAAATTAGGTTATAAATTAATTATACTTACATTAATATCACGGTTATTCACCCAAGAATGTAACAAATCATTAAAATTAGACTTCTTTTTCTTTAATTGACGAACCAATTTATAGGAAATAGGATTACATTCTTTCAAAATCTTTTCGTGTTCAATTTTTTCATCGATCAAATATTGGATATCAACCATTGGGGCCATTGTCCATAATGTAAAATGGTCCAAAATAAAAGTATACCGAGTGTATGGCATTCTGGTGAATTATCAATTAATCCATCTGTAAAGTACAGCTGACAATATTTAGCCCATTCAATTAACGACTCTACAATAGTATTTTCATTAATAAAAATGATTGTTATATTATTATCAGTATAATATTGATCTTGTAATTTATATTTAAAATGTTTCATTAAATCTTGGAGAGAGCCATTGGTGGTTCAATTATTTCTTCTTCAGTTAAAGAAATGGTTGAAAAATTATCTGATGAATTATCAGATGACTCAGATAATTCACATAGATTATCAATAACGGGTTTGATATAAACTTTAGATTTGCTCGTCGACGCTCTATTAAAATTAAATTAAATAAAAATCAATACTCCGTATATAAAACTTTAGAATTTAAATCATCAGTGAAACTTAGCTATCTTATAATAATTACCTTTTGATATAATTAAGATCTTTAATACTGTCTGGTTCAAAAGGCATTTCTTCAAGATCAAGAAAAACTTAAAGTTATAACTAAGGTGCTAATTTCAAATTGTCAGATAATCGATGAAAAAATTTCTAATGCTTGTTAAATATTACAAAAATTTTCATCAATATTGAATCATATTTAATGAATAAAACATTGCTAAGAAATAATAGTTTCAAAAATCCATGGTAAGACAAATTTCTTGATTCATTTAAATAAGAAACAAGCAATATAATTCCCAGTTGTACTCATGATTAGTTTGTTAATTCAAAAAAATACAAAGTATTTAAATTGATTAATTTATAAAGCAAAGAATAAAAAAAGAGGAGAATATAAGTTATGAGAGTTATGATAAATTCACAAAGTTTCTTATTTGTTGTTGGCAAGCAACCTAGCTACATAATATAAGATTATTGGAAAAGAAAAAAGAAAAGAAAAAAATAACTAAGCTATTGGGAAATTAAAAGGATAATATTATTCATATATAGATTATACGTTGCTTTCAGTAATCCTTCTCAGATTATAATAATTTCTTTTTTCTTCATTCTCGAGTCTCGGTCTAACCCTGCGCTCAAACGCAGGCAGCTCTTGAATTTGCGAAACTTTACGTTTTTGAAATGGAGCATATGAGAGCCTGCAAATTTTCGCCTTAATTCCCTCATCACTGTCAAAAGTTACTCTATCATTGAAAGTCACTCTATCTTTGAAATCCTCAGGTGAGCGAAATGGTCGTTTATGCATCAAATCCTCTGGTGAATCTTTTATTGATGTACCAAAGATATCTGTTATGATATTTGGACATGTGAAGTTTGCGTTGACGGACAATAATTCAAAATCAAATTGGGAGGCGAACAGCCTACCAAAGTGTTGATGAAAATTGTCTCTGCAAACAACAAGAATATTATCAGGAATAGAAGAACCGAAGGAGTAGGTCGAGTCAGGATCAATCGCTTTTGTCGTGAATATTATAGTAATAATCTGTTCCTTCTTAATCTCTTCAGAATCACAGTTCTTTAAGGTAGCTAAATTTTTTCTATGCTCACCTATGATATCAGCTAATTTCAACGGAATCTGAAAATCTTTTCCCCATATCCACTTATATTGTAAACATAAAATATACCCACAATCATCATCATCTGCACTTACATATCTAACAAATGAATCCCCAAATTTAGCTGAAGCAGCATTTTTAAATATAATGTCTTCCTTCCAGCTGTAAGGTACTTTGGTATGTTTGCAGCGTAAACCTTCATATGTAATCGGAAACTTGTGCTCCAGGTACGCAACACCTTTTAGATTTCTAAGTTTGAATTTTAGTGACAAAGTTTTCTCGTTTCCAAATGCACCAGGATAAATTTCATTAAGTTTCGCAGCCGTCTTTCCTGATGCAAGAAGATTAACTTTAAACATCTCAAAATGTGCAACGAAGGTTTCCCAATGTTGCCATTCCATACTACGTGGATTTGGAATGATTGCTCCTGAAAGAATAACATCAGCAAGATTAAGTGTTATGTTGTATATATAAATGAAATATATTGGCATAGCAATTAAAAGTTTTCCATCTTCATCTTCCAGGATTATGTGTTTATCTCTTTCTAGTTCCCCATAAGTTAGTGAATTTACATCATCTTTCAACACTTTATCTGTCCTTTCGATAGAATCACTTTTCAAACAATTTTTAAGCAAAGCAAGGGCAAGATCTTTATGTTTTTTAACAAATGTCGTTATATTGTAGCTGAGCAATAAAAAAAAATGTGATTAATACAAGCGACTGAAAGGATTAATAATTGACGATTATTTTTATTAACATACCTCATGTCTAACCTTGACGCAATTTTGATGAAGAAACCGGATGGATTCCAGGTATGTTTCTTAAACAAGTCTTCCTTCAAAATTTCATCAAGAATATATTCGATTGCACGTGGGAGACCACGGGCATCATCTAGAATTTTAATAAATGATCGATCAAGAGTCCACCAGTAATTTGTTTCATTCTCTTTAACTGCGAAATCATTTACAATTTCTATACAAGCACCCATTGAGAGAAGAGGACAATTAATATAGTTGAAACTAAAGCCTGAGTTGAAACTAAAGCCTGTTGGTCCCTTCAACTTGACAACATCCTGTAATGCTGTTCCAGATAGAAATGTTTGGATAAAATTTCTATTATTCCTCATATATTGGGCCAACGTGTATAATAACTCCTTGGTAAATCCCTTTATGTTTTCACTTGAAGACTGATCCTCTCTGATCCAACATTTTTCATAATTGAACATTTCTTGAATTTCATCAATATGGAGAAAGATAAATAGAGTTTGATTATCATTTAAATGACGAGACATACGAATGCTCTTAATTACATTGCGAAGGTTTACGGTTGACTCAAATTTCCTAAGAGATTCTGTGTTATCCACTTTGAAATAGCGGTAAATATTTTGACGGAAATCATTAAAATCCATTTGATACGATTGATCATAAACAAAGAATTTAAAAGCAATACGTAAAGCAATTGCAGAATCAGCAGTCAACTTGAAGTCATATCTATTCAGCCTTACTTCTTTTCCAAAATCAAGGTAAATTGATAAAAAATCAGGATCGGGAACAGGCCGTTGAGAGCGTGGATCTACTAAAACATCTTTTGGATTGTTTTTTAAATGGTTAAACAATTCAAATCCATAGCGAGTTTTACCTAGTTTACAATTAGTATTAATTTGATGAATTACAAACATTAAATGTCAATAAAAGCTTTACATATAAAAATGACCTACCAATACCAGGAGCTCCACAACAGACAAGAAATTGAAGGGTTGATTTTACAAAAGACTGTGTCGTATAAAAAGATTGTTCAAAATTTTTGGAGATTGACATTATTGCTGATTCCATATTTCGTTCCTTTAGAGGTATACTACTAGAGAAACCAGGTGATTTGTTACTTGATCTAGCAACGTTTTTTAATATCTTTTTCATGATCAAAGTTAAAGATTCTATGATAAATTTTAAGAAGCAAAAACAAAATTATTATTTGATATGAAAAAAAAGGTATCAAGTTGGGAGACACTTACCAGCGGCGAGCAGTTGTACGATGACGTGAATGTTCCCCTGGTTAAGTTCTTTATCTTTAAAATATTCATTAAACTTGTGGGTAGGTTTCAAAAACTTGGCACCAACAACTTTATTATTTTCATCTTTAAATTCTTTAAGCTTGTATTCATCGCTTTCAGCGACGTCAACCTTCCAAAGATTTATAGAGTCAGCATCGATTCCTAACTTATTTTTTTTCCTATCCAAAATAAGGACCTTGAGGTCTGAAATCTTTAAATTATCAATTTCGACTTTAATACGACCAAACTCGGTAACATTAGCAACGTTAATCACAAAAGCATCATCAAAAGAAGTATCTTCCAAGAGTAAACAATTTAGTGACGCCGCCATTTTGTAAATAATTCTGTAAAGATGACAAAATGAATTTTTAGAGAAGAAATATTTTTTAGAGAGAAAGTTTTGAGAAAGTTAGGATATATATATATACTTAAAATTCATCATGAGTAATAATACTTGATCAGGCTTATAATCACGATCAGTAAAAAACCTATGCGATGTCATGAGTATTCATCATGAGTATTTATTAAAAAACGGGAATTTGACTAAGTATGAGAAATGTAATGATTTATTAGGGTGAGACGTCGTTATTTTACTATAATCAGATAAAATTTATTAAACTTTTTTATAATAATTTATTATGAAATAAAACTCAAGACTCTAAAAGTTTCTTGCGAATATTGTGTACATTTTTCAACTTTCTTTTGGTTGAAAACTGTTCTTAAGAACCATCTCAAAGTAATTGATTTGATATATTTGCTTAAAAGAAAATTTAAACTAATAAAGCACCAAATTAAAGTTTTACATGATAAAGAGAAATATTTGAACGTAACTTTGTTCTTAAACCATCTATAGATTTGTCATAAAAATTTGAAGGTAAACCCATGTTTTCATCGTGTGGTGAAACATTTTAAAATGTGTCAATTGTAATATGATGTTATTATAATAGACAAAATGCCAAAAAAAAAATTCAATCACGTAAAGCAAACCAAGTTTCCATAAATATACGACAGCAAAAAAAGACAATTAGTAATATTAATCAAATGCTTATACAGATGAATGATGATGAATTGCAGCTAATTTATCAAAATATCACACAACTAAATGACAATGAGAAGGATATTAATGATGACAAGGTGGAGACTAATAACAAAAAGCTGGCAACTAATATATGTCGTTAAAATTAACTAAGAAAATTAAAGATTTATCAGACAACCAATTAAAATCTGCAGTACATTTATTTAATATTATGTGATATTTAAAAGGACTAAATAAGGGTAATTTACTTTCACCTTTTTTACAAAATAAAGCTTTGAACTTTGTAAATTCTTCTCTTTACAAAGTTGGTCAAGATTCAGGCTCATTAATTCTAAATAATCAAAAACTCCAAAAGCAAATAACCTGATTAGAGCATTCTAATTCTAAAAAAAACACAGCACAAAAATCTTTATCAACTAATTCTCAAAGCTTAAAGCAAGTATACAAGCAATTACTATGAAAAACAAATGTCAATTATACTGCAACACATTTTATCAATATAGCTACATAAGTATCACAAATTGGTAAAATGTTATTTTGAAATACTGCTCAAGCTGTACAAGTAATCTTAGGTTTTTAACCAGAGAAAGTTCATCATTGCCAATTTCATATAAATCTATTATTCGATGAAATAAAGAAATCAGTAAAATTCATGTTAATCAGATTTTTGATCAAAATAATCTTTCAGAATTTTTTACTTTTGAAGTAATGCTAGATGAGTCAACATGAGGTGAGCATAAGATATTTGTGCTATGTATTATATTCTGAAACTCAAAAAATAATAAGCCAGATTTTCAAGTATTGGAAATAAAAGATTTACTGATTTGTACAGGAAAATCAGTTACTCAAACAATATATAATATTTTTGACTATTTTAAAATAAATTCACAACAATGCTTTATACACTACCCTCCCAAAAGTATCTGGCTAACCAATAAAGATCATATTTTATTAATAATAATTAACATTTAGTTGGCCATCCATTATTTTAATGTATGCTTCAATTTGGCGTGGCATGCTCTCAATTAAATTAATGTAAGTTTTGGATGGAATTCTTTCTCATCTTCTTTTAGCTATTAATCCAGTCGTATTCTAAAATTTCCAAAAAGTACTGTTACAGACATGATTGTTCGATACAAAAATTTTAATACTGATAGCTTCATGTCCTTTCCAAAAGCCAGTAATTTGCCCACATTCATTCAATTCACTAGTTTTTCCCATTTTAATAGTAGTTGAATGGCACAGTAACAAAAAAAAAAGCAAAGTTCAGCGTTGACAAAATTAAGGCATTATTATTTTTTATTGCCAAATCTGGTACAAGTATCATAACACAATAAAAATACATTTATTTTAATCGTTAGAACTGATGGAATTGTTTTTTTAAAAATAAAATAATACTTTATATATTCAATCTTGAGAAAATCAAGTTGAGCTTGGCCGGATACTTTTAGGAAGGTAGTGTATGTATTCCTGATAATACAAACTATATAAGTGGAAAAACTGGAGGTGCAATTTCTGTATTTAATAAGTTGAGTGGTGCTAACTTATTTCAAATTCCTTGTGAACTTCATGTTGCACATATTATAATAAATAACTTTGAAGAAGTTAGTTCCTTAATATTAGTGGATTTTTACAGAAAAAACTTGCGGCAAATATTTTACATTTAATTTGGAAAATTCATGATGGTTATAATAGAACAGATAAAAACAAGCCAATAGGAATTCAATCAGATTATATTCGCAGACTTTATGATAAATGATTTGGGTATAAATTGACAAAATATTAACAGCCTATTCAATTAAAATTGCTTTACAAATTAATATGTACTGAACAATATTTAGAATAAAGGGATACAGTCAACTCCCTCTATAGTCACTCCCGTTATAGTCACATTCTACTATATAGTCACACCAGTTGAATGTTCAAAACACTTTATTATTAAAATTTATCCTATATAGTCACAATCTATCTATAGTCACTATCACACCTATCCTCAAAAATCTTATATTAAAAAAAACCGTTTATAATCACAGTTATATAAAGAATATATTAAATAACTTGGCATCTAATAATCTTACAAAGATGTATCATAGCTTGTTAGAATCGTCTCACTGAGATGAATCGAATGGTGGTAGTTTTATCCTTTTCCTTTGCTAGTGTTTACGGTCAGACCATCCATTGCCTCTTACGAGACTAATCTCGGGTCTGTGTCCTATCATCTTCAATGGGCAACCATTATACTGAGTACTTAATTCCTCAGGTAACAGCACCACTATAGAAGACATCTCCCATCGGGCCATTTTAGGCTGATCTGAAGCTAGGTACACGCCGTCTACTCATCCTATACCCATTGCACGATACTGATATTCAATTTATTTTACGACCTTTAGAGAGCATCTACTTTCATGGAGGACTTTTGACAGGTAACATCAACCATCTAGTACCCTTCCATACCACCATTTAAGGTACTAAGTCTCACTCACAGGCCACTACAGCCCGCAATTACCTAGCACCGATAGTACAGTTGTTTACCCCAAGTGGTATACTTTGTAATGACCATTCAGACAGGAAGTAGCAGGCTTCTGTCCAGGATCACCCCTTATGGTGGGTATCAACCACCAGGGATCACCAACCAGGACCCAAGAAGTGGGGAATCGAACCCCATAACCATGCTACCTGTTCTGTGCACGAACACCTTGGTTGGCTTAAAACCTAACAGAAGGTCTAACTACCACTAAGACATTACACTCTCAGTTTTACCATCTAGGACGACCATCTAGCCATTACTGACCCCAAGTGGTATCGTGGAGTGACCACCCGGACAGGAAGTCCCCCCCAAGGTATAGTAGTGACCTCAAGGACAGGACTGCGCATATGCCAATGGCCTCATAGGAAACGTTAGAAGGACACCATGACCCTTAGTTGAAATGTGCGGCCTAACCGTACACACTAATTCACCATGATGCAGTCCAACTACACTAATCCCTGTACCTTCACGCTATTGGTTGTAGCGTCTGCAGTAAAATTCTTTTTATTTCCGTGGTCATGGGAATCGAACCTGCGACCTCACCATACTCAGGCTTAATGAGGGTCTCAGTGACTAACCACCGAGATAGGGTGACCAACCCTAGTTTTATCCTTTTCCTATGCAAACAGTCTTAAGACTTTATCTTTTATTTATATTTAAACATCGAAAATGTGGTCGAACAATATTACAAAAATAAGAAAATAAACTAATAAAAAATAAAAAGAGTAGCTTCACGACTCATACAAGTAAAGAAATCTAAACTAAAATAAATTTAAGCAAAGAAAAACTAAACTATTACAGAATCGCATACCCCAACTTTACCCGAAGGCCAGTGTGAGTCAACTATCCAACATCCAAAAATCCAGTCCGTTACCAGAAAGAGATCCTAAGAGGTTGAACTGTTAAGCGGCGCAGAAAATCCATGTGCGATATCCATGATCCACCCCGAATTATAGAAGAGGATATCCAAGAAATCCAGGAATCCTGAGAAACTGTCGCCAAAGAGGAGTTGTGATGATGAGGAGAAATAGTAGAGGTGGTAGATATAGAAGGGCCACGTAATTTGGAAGCAGCCGAGATATCCTGCGACTCTTCCCAAGCATGAAAAAGAACATTCCGACATAGCCAAATTTCACCATATAATTCGACTTGGAAGTCATTAAGAAGGGGAGAAATAGTCTTGTATATAACAGAGAGAGAGAAGTGTTGATTCAAAAATGTCGTTAAATGTGCAGGCAACAATTCTCGAGTAAGCCAAAGACAGGATAAAGAAGGAGCTTCATAGTTCCAACATTCCAAAGCAAAAAATTCAGTTTGAAAAGAAATATCCAAAGATTTCAAGGATAGAAAGGAAGATAAACAAGAATCTCTAAATTTAATGACTTCAGACCGGTGTGTTAAACAAGGATTTAATTCTGGTAAAATATAAGGACAAGTCCAAAGATGATTCAAATCTTCTGGAGCAGAATTACACTGCGGACAAAGCCAGTCAGGAGAGTATAAGTAAGGTTTGCGTTGTTGAAGAGTAGTTAAGGTAGGCAACATATCCAAGAGGAGTTTGATACGGAAGATCCAGAATTCCGGACGACCATTCTTATGCGAAGCAAAACCTTTAATTTGTGAANGCTCTGTCTCTTATACACATCTAGATGTGTATAAGAGACAGGCATGGAGCATGACAAAATGCCAAAGGCGAAACAGAAGGTTGTATAGATGAATGAGCATCTTTTGCCAAAGAATCCGCTTGTACATTATAGATGTCATCGCCATGAGCAGGGACTTTAATCAAATCGACTTGGAGGTTACGATCCATGATAAGTTGTCGAATAGAAAACCAAAGAAGATGATTAGGTTCTCGAAGCAACTTCAGTGAGAAAGGAACATCAACAAAACGTGTCCATAGTGAAATTAACTGACTACAATCAGTATAGATAGAAATTGAAGAGTCACGGGAGAGGCGGTCAATCCTAATAAAACAGCATAAATTTCAGAACGTAAAGCTGAAGGGAAACAAGAGGGAAGATGCATGGATGAAGATTCAAGGATAAATCCATCATCATCGAGAGCAATCCAAGCAAAAGCCATGGAAGAGGATAAAGAATCTTTGGCAGGACGGAAAGAGCCATCGGTATACAAAGATTGCACAGAAGACGGCAAAACATCATCTTCTAAACTGTCCTTAACAGAAGGAGAAAGGGTGAAAGAAGCGGTTGAGGGCGGGTTCATCAAATGAACAAGGGCCAAGGACGTGGCATAACTCCATGAAGTAGAAAGAGTAATGGGAAGGTAGGCCGCAAAAACTTTGGCATTTCTAGTAGGGTAGCCCACAGTTTCCGACAGGGTGACATTGAAAAAACACTTTTCGCTATTACAGCGTTGTTTGATAGCAGATTTCTTGGATAAGGCAGGAATGTTAAGAGCACAACCAGGACAAGGGTTATAGGATCGTTCATCGGCCGAGGGAGATACAGGAAGCCAATGCGACATAATAGCCGAGTTTTGTTTCTTGTAGGTGATACACACACGACCAACAGATAAAGTTTGAGTAGCAGAGTCAAGATTAATAGCCCATTGAGGATAAAAAGAATAATCTTTAACAGTATGATCTAATAAACAAGGAGAAGCTAAAGTAAAAGAAGAATTAATAAAATATGAAGATAAAAGTAAAGTAGAAGAAGAAGAAGAGAGAAAATTATTATTGATAAAAGTAAACCAATTAGGAATCCGTCCTTTACGACCAACGATGCCAAGATAACGAAGGTCAGGCCAATTCATAAGATAACGTCCACAAGGAGAAACCAACTGAGCAAGCACAAATATATTCAGGTTTTTCCAAATTTTCCAACTCGATTGAAAAATGGAATGAGGTAGAATAGATCGGAGTGGCAGAGCAGGTTGTAGATCATGCCTCGGAGGCCGGAAGGAAAGAGACCACGTGATGTTCAAACGCGAAGAAAACAATAACGAATTAAACAAAGTGTGCGTTCG